TAGATATAAGGAGAAGAGTTTATTAAAAATTGGTTTATTTTTAAGTAAATATAAAAGATATTACTTTGAAGTTTTAATATAAAGTATATTTTTGTCTTAGGAATAAGTTTACTAAAAATGAAGGGTTTGAGCTCTATAGCTTATTGGTTAAGCCCCCAAAACTCTACAGACAAGGTCAACAGTTCAAATCTACTTAGAGGCATAAAATCTAAGATTTTTAATCTTCTGTAAGCCAAATAGCAAAAATGCTATTTTGAATATGGAGCTCTGTAGAAAATCCAAGTGCAAGTATAGTTCTGGAATAGAAATTTCTAGAAAAAGCCCTGATTGTAGAGCAATACCATTACGCATGTCTTCCACAGAAGATCTAAACTGTAAAAGATCATTCAAATAAGTTCTTTGATTAGGTAATCTGAAGGCAACACCAACATCTCTTTGTCTCTGCTTTAGGCAATACCAATATCCCTGCACCCAACTTGTGGGGTACTTGCTTGAAAAGATAATTAATAGATCATATATATTAGTCCTAATTTGAATTGGCATTGGGTACTTGTTTGAGAGAGTAATACAACACTACTAAAACTATAGTAATAAAAGAAGCAGTAAATATGTAAAAGGGCTGTGATAAAAAATTGGCTTTACCTGAATTAGAAACACCTTTGGTACTATAAAACAACTAACTAAAGAAGATAATTTTATAGAGACAAGCTAGCTAATCTAGTATATCTAAAGATACCAAGTCAAAACTCTGGTTATCCCTATATAGAAGTTTATGATGAAAAAAGCCAGAATACACCAACAATAGTGCAATACCAACCAATAGATAAGAGTCCAAGTTGGAAGTTAATATGAATTGGAGTATATCTCTTAGTAATATAATACAAGGCCTATAGCTAGAAGTAAAACTCGGGTCAGCCTTGATCTTACAAAATATGGTTCTAGTAATATATGATATAAGAAAGTGCAAATAGATTAGTTGACACCACTATACCAGAAAAAGAATGTTAAGTTCTGAAGTAACAAACTAATGGTGGTAGCAGGACTTGGCTTAAGAAATGGGTTAGTAATATCTGGGCAAATAAATGAGAAGGTTCTTGCCAATTAGCATATCTAATAATATAATATTAACTCTGTTATATTGTGAACCTAACTAGACAGCAAGTTTCTGGCTTAAGATATAAGGCTGTAAAAAGATTACTTGCACCAATTATGGTTGCACTAATAGAATCTATAAGAGCAGTAGATCATGTTTGTAAATACATCAATTTGAAAGCTCATTAGAACAGATACTTAATATATCAACTTGAAAGTTATGACTAGTTATATGAGATATAGAGAAAATATGTAGTTACTAGAAGCAGTTAGTTGAGAAGTATAAAGCTAAGTGATACATGTGTGAAGTATGGACTATTCTAGTAGGTTTAGGTCATAGATAAATTAGTTTAAGTCTTTATAGTTCGTAAGTTAAGTATATATAATTATAATTGTAGAAGCTATATATTAATAAAAGCCAAAGACATAATCTTACCTTAATATTAAAAAAAAAAGTTTACTAAGAATGCTAAATAAGATAATAAAGTGCAAAAAAATATTGATGATTTTTCATGACTTCTTCTATTTCTTTGCCACTTCTGCTCTTCTTACTCAAGTCTCTTAAGAGACTAAGTATTTCTTGTAATTTTCTTCCTCTTTACTTAGAGCTTCAAGTTTGGTTTTTTAGTGACCTTTGTGTATTTCTTATAACTTGTTGTTAATTTTTATTTTCAAAATTTTGTGTTCTAATAATTAGCAGAAAGAGTTGTCTAATTTGCTTGTAAGTTTCAAAACTTTTTGATTACCTTATATATATTAATATTTAAATAATATTTACTCTTAAACCAGTTCTTCTGCAAATTTGCCCTAAAATATTAGATTTTGATTGGCAACTCATGTAGCACTTGTATTACCTTACAAATTAATAACATTTTCATATTTATTTATAATGTATTGTATCATTTATGATATTATGTTTTGTGTATTTGTAATACATGTGATTATCAAAAAATTTCAAAGCAGATCTGCTCTGAATTTAAAATAGTTTAAGAGATACTTACTTCAGTTCACAGACACAGAAATTATGCAATATTTTTTAGTGCAATTCTTACAAACTGCATCAAATCACATAATTACTAATTACTTTATAGTAATTTCTGTGTAATAAATTTAAATCACAATATACTAATAGGTTATTCTAAAACTGTTTTTTTATTTTAAAAAAACATTTTTTATTATCTAAAAACTAGAAATTGTATATGTGAGCGCCATCCATTTCAGCTGACTTATATAATTAGATAATGACTTTCATGACTATCGGCCTCGAAGTTCAAACTTCACACGTTTTTATCTTACAGACTAGTACATGATCATGTGGTGGCTTTGCCGCCAATTACAGTCAAACCTCTCTATAATCACACTCTTGATTTTAAGAAATTGGTGCTTATAGAGAGTTTGTGCTTATATAGAGGTTAAATTTTATAAGTGCTATATAAGTTGGTCTTTAAAATTTATGTGACTATAAGCAAATGTGACTATAAAGGAGGTGACTATAGAGAGGTCTGACTAAAATAATTTGATATAGCAGTATATGGTATTAACAGACACTGACAATTTGATAATACATAATTAATTGAAATCAAAAAATATATATTAAGGTGGTATTCTATTTTGTTTTATTTATAGTTCTTGGGGCTTTGCTTGAGTTGTAAGTTTTTTATGTTTTGTCTCGCTTCACTCGGCTAGGTTTTAAACTCTACATTTTCTTACCATATTTCAACAATCATTAATTGCTAACTTAAAGTTTTAATCAAGATTCACAATAATGTAGATGCAATTTTAACAGACACTAGAACTTTATATACGGGAGGCTTTGCCATTCAGTTTTAGCCAACTAATAATTAGAAGATCAGGTGAAGCAGTAAAACAATGTTTTATTTGATTAACATTTAAACTTTATTAAAAAATTCTCTCTCTTTAATGAAATGAAGACAAATATATAAAGCTAGTTAATTTATAAATACTTCTATCAAAAGAAATTAGAAGAATGATGTGACATTACAATGAAGTCGCAGAAAAAAATAGATAACTTGTATTTATCCTTTTACTTCTTTTACAACTGAGAGATTTTGACAACTTTATAGTTTTTCCAATGTTTATTAAGAAGTATATATTATTGTTATAGGGATTTACGCTAGATAACGACGGCACAGTTAAATTGAATGAAGATATATACGAAATTAAATGTCGGTAAAACTAAAGCCAAATTCTATTTTATTTGCTAGTATGTTTTAATAAAATTTTGTAATACATTTAGTTTCAAATCTAAATAAAACATTAACTTTACTTCTTAAATATATAGAAATGAAAAAATTGGCTATCATCCTAAAGAAAGAGCAGAAGTTACTTTCAAGAAACCTCAAGTATGTATATACAGGTAGTTGGCACTAGTCTATGATATAAATACCACATTTTATTATTCAAATTAGCAAACAGGTTTATGCGTCCCAGGCCAAAAATAAGAAAAGTTAGAGTGTACAACCAATAATTAATTGACCAATGTAATCCTAATTCAATGGAAATCGAATCAGCATCATCTCTTACGATTACATAAAATAGAAGAAAGAATATCTGGATAATGTGAGTTTTGTTGACAACGATAACATAGCTAGAATGAAAAAAACGGCTGCAAAGAATGTAGCAAAATCTTCGGTGTAAGAAATTTTAATAACTTGTAAATGTTATTTATTTATTTAAAATGTAAACGTATTATTATTTACACTTATTGTTATATAGCAACACAGAGAAAGAGAGATTATGGAGTCAGTGGTAGACAGGTGTTAGATATCACGTTTTTTGTCAATAACTTCATCAACATCGAAACTTGTGAAAGTTGATAGTAAAGATTAACACCTGATAATTGACCTACTAATTAGAACGAAGTAGTTGAAGACCAAGACATGGCCAGCACTAATAAGGAACCAAAGCCGCAACAAAATGAAGTGTAGAATTGTTGAATAACCCGATTGAATAGCGTGTTGGGAAAAGTTTATACAATG